AACGGACTTCGAAACGTGACAGTTTCTGTAGATAGTTTGAATCGTGATGCACTCACTTTGATAGCTTTTTGATCTTTCCAATTAGTTTTGAAGCGTCAGAAACCGCATGAGTCCTGACCCTCAGTTCTTCAGCCATTACACGCACCGTTGGTGATGCGTCGGTCTCCACCGCGATCTTCAAATCCTCGTTCTGGATTACTGAAATTGGACCACTTGAAGGCTCATCTTTGGAACGAAATTTCGCAAACCAACGTTGAACAGTGGGTTTATTAACATCATTGCCAAATGCATAGTTGATTTTTCGGGCTGTTACGGCGGCGCTTTCTTCAAATTTGAATTTGTAGAAAAAATTGGCCTAAAATCGCTCGTTGACATCATTAATAAGTAATATTACTAAGTAATATTATTAATAAGTAATAATAAAATAGTAATGAGCTGAAGAAGAGTAAAACATTATTATTTGGAAACAAATTAACAGCTTTAGTATATACAGGCCGTTTCTTTCATCATGTGGTAACATTATTATATTCCAAACCGTAACAAATACGAAGACGATTAAATGGGAAAAAAAGTAACTATCATCGGAAACAATACAATGGTCGAAGAAAATTTACGAGGATACTTGCCGTTCTCGAGTTATACGGGAAAAACAACAATTCTGTTTTTCGTTTTCTTCGAATGGAATTGTTATTTCGGAGATTATCAAAAAATGAAGAAAAATGTTATTGTATTCGAAGTGTACTATAAGGATGTAGTATTAAATATTCGATAAACCGTTTCGTGTTAAAATTGCCACCATCAACTATTTTTTTAAATACGGACCTGTCTTTTTCATTACAGATATTGATTAAGCAATAAATTCACAGTCCAATGGTGTATCACATTTGACATTTTCATAGCGTTTCATTTGAAATTACTACCATCATCAGTGACAACAATTTAAAATTATAAGATCCTGTCGTTTCATCTTTTATAAATTGTTTCGATTTCTCCGAAATATAATTCAAACAACCCAATAAATTCGACAGGTAGGTATCCTAACACGATGAAAATTCGTACTTTTTAGTTTTGGAAATTTTTGTATTGCCGTAATCCTTCTTTCAAGGCTTATTTATTTCTCCCTAATCAATCATAATTCGTAATATTTGTATAATTCTCAATCCTGGAAGTAATGAAAAGATCAGTTTTTGGTCAAAATTCGATTGTTGTATAATTAGGTATGAGCAAATAGCATCTCAATTCATTTACCATAGGGATATGGAGCCACAAAGACATTGAAACAGACAAGACTTTGAAACTACACAATGATTCAATTTGAGCATCTAATTTGTCCGAATAGATTACTTGATAATATTGACGTTTTGTAATGAAATAAGTTTTTTCTTATTAGTCTATCTAGTTTGAAAACATTTTCCAATATTTCGAAGACTATGATCATGAAAATATCATTTTTACTTTTGTATTAACTACTCTTCTGAACAGTGAAAGAGATTCGATGTTTAATGATTTTCATAATTTCAAGGCATAAGAAATTACATAATTAAACAAAATATGAGAACTGACATTGAAATTTGTTGCAGTACATCACATTGGCTTTTTTGGCTGTAGCATATGGTGCTACTACACCATTGAAGGATGCACCTTTGATACCTATTCTCAAACAAGACGCCGAGGTTAACTTTGATGGAAGTTACCACACTTCCTTCGAATCAGCTAATGGTATCGTTGCTGAAGAACACGGAGTTCTGAAAAACGCCGGTGACGAAAAGAATCAAGCCGAAGAAGTAGTCGGTTCCGTTTCCTACACATCACCTGAAGGAATCCCCATCGTACTCAAATATATCGCTAATGAAAACGGATTCTCAGCTGAAGGTTCCCATTTGCCACAGCCACCAGTAGATACAAACACTCCACCAGCAATCCCATTGGCAATTCTTCGTTCTTTGGAATGGAACGCCGCACACCCTGAACAAGAAAAAAGCAAATCCGCCTAAATGTTTCAACATTCACTGACTGAATTTTATAATGAAATAAATAGAAACTATCAAAAATAACAATTATTGTGGTTTACGAATTCTGAAATTCAGAGTATCTCAATCATTTTTGCATGTACCCGATTATAAGAGTTGAGTTGCACTGTTTGGAACCTTTGGTGTAGTAATGAATATTACTGAAGTTTTTTCCCAACACCAAATCGTTATTTCTAACACATCGACACGTGTTTCGATCACCCAGTGATCCTCTTCAAAGAGGAAGATTAAAACTGTTCACTGATTCAGTAAACTCTCATGCCACACCTGGTTACTTTCACCACAATTCGAAAGTACTTCTAGATCCTCATTGAGATATGCAACCTCCTGCTGCCGGTGAAGATGTGTATCTGTGGTCGATGTTCTAAATTCCAAATGGAATGACGAAACATGTGTGCTGTCGTCAGCAAAGTAATATATTGGATTCTTGGTTTTTTCCAATAAGTCGTTGATAAAGTTGATATACAATGGAAAGAGGGCTGGCAACAATATAGATATCTGGGGGAAACCAGCGTTGATGGTAAAATATTCGAGAGAAATCCATCGACGGCCACTTGCAGGAAACGTTATTTCAGGAAGCTGAAGAGCCATACACAAGAATGATCCGATAAGCCATAGCATCGAAGTTTGGCCAGCAAACCCTCATGCTGCACACTTCCAAAGACTGGAGAATCAGGAGCGTAACAGCTCCTGATTCTCCATATTCTTCGATTGCGTTATTCCAAATATGGGTGACATACGATAGAAGATCGACTGTTGATCTTTGTTAACGAAAGCCATATTGATGGTCGCTCAAGATCTCAAAGCCTTCCAAATATTTGAGGTTAAGGTGCTGTACGGCTTTCTCCATGATATTTGATGCCACTGATAGCAAAGCCACCGGATGTGTACCGGTAAAAATATCCGTTTTTCGCGATACACGATAATGGTTACCACCATCAGTAATTATTACCAAACATTTTCATCTTGATCTCATTTCAAAGAATGAATCAAACAATACAGCGAACGCCATCTTTTAGTTAAATGCTTCGCCTCACTTCAATACAGTTCTGAATATAAACATTATTGAAAAGAGAGTCCAACTCTTCTTATATAGATGGCGATAGTTATCGAAAAGTCCAATATTTCCTGTATGGGTTTTTCATGGATTTAGACCAAAAGAACCAAAAACCGATTGCATTCGAGACATGAGTTAAGACGCTCTGACCGTATAAAGAGACAGACAACAGGATGACCAGTTCAGTTTGAGGAGTGCCAGATGATGACAGTACTACCAACTGTCGAAAGCGCTCGCAAACATACGATCTTCTATCGTATGTCACCCATATTTGGAATAACGCAATCGAAGAACATGGAGAATCAGGAGCTGTTACGCTTGATATTTTTAAAGTCTTTGAAAGTGTGTAGCATGAGGGTTTGCTGGGCAAACTTCGATGCTATGGCTTATCATATCATTCTTGTGTATGGCTCTTCAGCTTCCTGAAAGAACGTTTCCTGCAAGTGGCCGTCGATGGATTTCTCTCGAATGATTTACCATCAACGCTGGTGTTCCCCAGGGATCTATATTGTTGCCAGCCCTCTTTCCATTGTATATCAACGACTTATTGGAAAAAACCAAGAATCCAATATATTGCTTTGCTGACGACAGCACACATGTTTCGTCATTCCATTTGGAATTTAGAACATCGACCACAGATACACATCTTCACCGGCAGCAGGAGGTTGCATATCTCAATGAGGATCTAGAAGTACTTTCGAATTGTGGTGAAAGTAACCAGGTGTGGCATGAGAGTTTACTGAATCAGTAAACAGTTTTAATCTTCCTCTTTGAAGATGATCACTTGGTGATCGAAACACGTGTCGATGTGTTAAAAATAACGATTTGGTGTTGGAAAAAAACTTCAGTAATATTCATTACTACACCAAAGGTTCCAAACAGTGCAACTCAACTCTTATATTCGGGTACATGCAAAAATGATTGAGATACTCTGAATTTCAGAATCCATAAACCACAATAACTGTTATTTTTGATAGTTTCTATTTATTTCATTATAAAAATTCAGTCAGTGAATGTTGAAACATTTAGGCGGATTTGCTTTTTTCTTGTTCAGGGTGTGCGGCGTTCCATTCCAAAGAACGAAGAATTGCCAATGGGATGGCTGGTGGAGTGTTTGTATCTACTGGTGGCTGTGGCAAATGGGAACCTTCAGCTGAGAATCCGTTTTCATTAGCGATATATTTGAGTACGATGGGGATTCCTTCAGGTGATGTGTAGGAAACGGAACCGACTACTTCTTCGGCTTGATTCTTTTCGTCACCGGCATTTTTCAAAACTCCGTGTTCTTCAGCAACGATACCATTAGCTGATTCGAAGGAAGTGTGGTAACTTCCATCAAAGTTAACCTCGGCGTCTTGTTTGAGAATAGGTATCAAAGGTGCATCCTTCAATGGTGTAGTAGCGCCATATGCTACAGCCAAAAAAGCCAATGTGATGTACTGCAACAAAGTTCAATGTCAGTTCTCATATTTTGTTTAATTATGTTATTTCTCATGCCTTGAAATTGTAAAAATCATTAAACATCGAATCTCTTTCACTGTTCAGAAGAGTAGTTAATACCAAAGCAAAAATGATATTTTCATGACCATAGTCTTCGAAATATGAGGAAATATCTTCCAGTCATTGTTCAGAGTGGCCCAAATTGGACAATGTTTTCAAACTAGATAGACTAATAAGAAAAAATTTATTTCATTACAAAACGTCAATATTATCAAGTAATCTATTCGGACAAATTAGATGCTCAAATTGAATCGTTGTGTAGTTTCAAAATCTTGTCTGTTTCAATGTCTTTGTGACTCCATATCCCTATGGTAAATGAATTGAGATGCTATTTGATCATACCTAATTATACAACAATCGAATTTTGACCAAAAACTGATCTTTTCGTTACTTCCAGGATTGAGAATTATACAAATATTACGAATTATGATTGATTAGGGAGAAATAAATAAGCCTTGAAAGAAGGATTACAAATTTCCAAAACCAAAAAGTACGAATTTTCATCGTGTTAGGGTACCTACCTGTCGAATTTATTGGGTTGTTTGAATTATATTTCGGAGAAACTGAAACAATTTATAAAAGATGAAACGACAGGATCGTATAATTTAAAATTGTTGTCACTGATGATGGTAGTAATTTCAAATGAAACGCTATGAAAATGTCAAATGTGATACACCATTGGACTGTGAATTTATTGCTCAATCAATATCTGTAATGAAAAAGACAGGTCCGTATTTAAAAAAATAGTTGATGGTGGCAATTTTAACACGAAACGGTTTATCGAATATTTAATACTACATCCTTATATTACACTTCGAATACAATAACATTTTTCTTCATTTTTTGATAATCTCCGAAATAACAATTCCATTCGAAGAAAACGAAAAACAGCATTGTTGGTTTTTCCCGTATAACTCGAGAACGGCAAGTATCCTCGTAAATTTTCATCGACCATTGTATTGTTCCCGATGATAGTTACTTTTTTTCCCATTTAATCGTCTTCGTATTTGTTACGGTATGGAATATAATAATGTTACCACATGATGAAAGAAACGGCCTGTATACACTAAAGCTGTTAATTTGTTTCCAAATAATAATGTTTTACTCTTCTTCAGCTCATTACTATTTTATTATCACTTATTAATAATATTACTTAGTAATATTACTTATCAATGATGTCAATGAGCGATTTTAGGCCATTTTTTTCTACAAATTCAAATTTGAAGAAAGCGCTGCCTTAACAGCCCGAAAAATCAACTAGGCATTTGGCAATGATGTTAATAAACCCATTGTTCGACGTCGGTTTACGAAATTTCGTTCCAAAGATGAACCTTTAAGTGGTCCAACTTCAGTAATCCAGAACGAGGATTTGAAGACCGCGGTGGAGACCGACGCATCACCAACAGTGCGTGTAATGGCTGAAGAACTGAGGGTCAGGACCCATGCGGTTTCTGACGCTTCAAAACTAATTGGAAAGATCAAAAAGCTAGAAAAGTGAGTGCATCACGATTAAAACTATCTACAGAAATTGTCACGTTTCGACGTCCGTTCTTCTTTGCTTTTGCGCAATCAAAAGGATCCTTTTTTAGATCGGATCGTCACGTGTGATGAAAAGTGGATCCTCTATGACAACAGGAGACGTTCAGGACAGTGGTTGGACACCTATGAACCACCCAGGCACTTCTCAAAGGCGAAAACCTACCAAAAAAGACTATGGTCATTGAATGGTGCTGCTGGCAACAGGTGTGATTCACTATAACTTTCTGCAACCGGCACAGTACAGTCCTATTGTAAGGAAATCGACAAAATGTACCGAAAATTGTATCAGCAGCACTCAGCACTGGTCGACAGAAGAGATCCGATCCTGCTTTACAAGCACTTCGATGAGTTTGTCACCAGTAGAACCTTCGCCAATCAGGACCAGGCAAAAAAGGCATTCATCGACTGCATCGAATCCCGATCACGCAATTTTTATGCTGACGAAATTAATCGACTTGTGTTGCGTTGGTAAAAGTGTACTGATTTAAAAGGCATCATTTCGGTCAAGTCGAATAAGTATTCACTGAGATATTATAGTTCGAAGTAGGCTCATGAAAGCGGACAAAACTTTTGACACAACTTAATAGATAACAATGATTACGAGTACTCACCACAGATTTCATGATGTTTTGTATTTGAGATACTTGAATCAATATGACTGACTTCCCAATTTGCACCTAAATTTATATCATTTAGGAAGACATTAATACCCATCTTTATGAATACCTACTTTTACATTCACAAGGTTGCATGTGTTAATGGTGAAGGTCATCTTCACATTCAGGCGCCCTGTATTAGACAAATATTGGATAACCACTTTCTCGTCTTGCGTCTTTTTTTGGTGAACGGCAATCATTCGTTTTCCTGCGGTGAAAATAAAGGAGACCCAGATGATTACGTATACGAGTGTTTGGGAACATTTCAAATAATTGAATGTCACATAGGATAATAATAATGTTAATTTTCGTATTCATTGATGGAAATGCAGTGAAGTCAAAAATGAACAAGATAATCACAGAGGCCATAGGGATCTAAAGCTTGTTCATGACAAAATATATTATAAATGAGGTAAATCACTACATGGTGTAAAACTAAGTCGCTTTCCACAGTGTGTCTCTATGTATGCTTAGATCTTTAATACTACGCATCGGATTTTTAAAACTACGCGGGTTTTTTGATAAATAGAGGAATTCAAGAGGAAGGTTTATATTTATGTACATGATATGCTTAATATGGTAGTGAAACATTTATATTTTCAGAGGTTTCTGTTGTGATGTCGTAAATAAACACATTTTTTGCGCTTACATTGCAAACGCTGGCTGCACCACCCTACGAGATAGTTCAAAAATTGTACCTTAAACAGGTCTACAAAAAAAGTCCCCAATGGTATATTTTGTAGAACGATATATTTTTTGGCTCAAAATAGGCCTCAGTTGTAGCAATAGCCCCTTGGAGGTTATTGTTATTTAAGGTTGGAGACAATGTGGATCCCTGAGGAACACCAGCGTTGATAGTGAAGATATTCGTGAGATATCTATCGACGACCACCTGCAGGAAACGTTATTTCAGGAAGCTGAAGATCCATAAACAAAAATGATACAAGCCATAGTATCAAACTTTGGCCAGCAAATCATCATGGAACACATGGTCAAAGGCCTTATACTATAACAATTTTCAATTGAAGGTGATTCATTAGCAACGTCGCACTTGAAGTGACCAACGGATAATCCTCTTACCAACTCTGCAGAGGCGTACCAAAATAATATTTTTATTTATTTGAACACAGGTAATTACGTAAAAATTGTTATAGTAGGTGGCGCTACCTGGTGTCAATGGTAAAAATCATTACATTTTCTTGTTATGCCTAATACAGTACCTACTTCAAAAAAACAGAAAAATTTACAAAATAAAAATAAAAAGCCTTTGAAATCAGAAGCTTTTTTACATACTTTCTAAATTTAGTGGTACATGTTATGCCTTTGATCTCAATTGGCAAATAGTTGAACATTTGTTTTCCATTATATGTGAAAGACCTCTCAATTTTTGATGATATTGGAATCGGTAAACTTATAATGAGCTTATTTCTGGTATTTCGTCGTGGAGAAATGAAAATCCTTCCTGTATTTATTTTGCACCAGACATAACATTTCCAATACAAGTATGGAAGGCAAGGTCAAGATTTTATGCTTTCTGAATAAAGGTCGACAGGAATCCCTGAATCCAACTCTACACATATTTCTGATTCCTCTTTGTTGTAGTACAAACACCCTATCAAACATGTATTGGCAACTTGTTCCCCAAAAACCGTATCTCAGATGGGAATCGATGAGAGCAAATGAATTGGGCCATATTAGTGCCCAATTAGGCTCAAATCTGGAATATATCATTCTGAAAATCGTAACATATCAACAGGTGTTCCCCAAGATAGTGTCCTGGGTCCTACTCTCTTTCTCTTATTCGTCAATGACATCTCTAATATTAATCAACAACATTGTACTGTGCAGTTTCCTGATGATACGTCCTTCTTATTGAGTTCTTCTTGTGAAGGTTTATCTGACCGGGCTGATATTGCAGTTACTAATATGCTTGATTACTGCGCCAGAAACGGCCTCGTACTAAATAGCAATAAATCTAATACCATTGTTTTCTCTCTTAGAGAAATGGACTGCAGTATATTAGTTAGAGATAATACTAAATCTATTGTGCAGAAAAAATCAGTCAAATTCTTAGGGTTGAACATTGACTCCCAATTTTCCTGGAATGATCATATTGACTCTATTTTTATAAAATTATCCAAGCATTGTTTCGTCATTTGGAATCTCAGAAATTCTGTCCCTATAAATATTTTATTAAGTTACTAATATGCCTATGTTCAATCAAGTCTAAATTATTGCTTAGTCTGCTACGGTAATAGCAGCAAATTGAATGATCTGTTGATTGCTCAAAAAAAAAGATACTAAGATCCATGTGTTTCAAAAAATATGGTGATTCTTGTAAGCGGTTATTTACTGAGTTACAAATTTTAACTGTGATCACCATGTATATTTTGTATTGTGTCATTTACATTAAGAATCATTACCATGAGTTTCAGCAAAGGGATATTATCCGCTTAGCTGCTGGTTATACACTCAGGCAAAATTATAATCTGATAGTTCCTGTACATAAATTAACATCTGTGTCAAACGGACCTCATGTTATGCCCATAAAAATATTCAATAAACTTTCAACATTCATTAAGAAAATTTCAAATCCCATTAATTTCAAAAATAGCGTTAAAAATATTTTCTACAAAAATGCCTTTTATTCACTCGATGAATATTTTCGAACTGATCTGGCTGCTTGACATCACGATTGTTTGCTTGTTAATATTCTACTGTTTATACTATGTATTTTTTTATTGTTTTATATAATTATCTCCTACATCTACTATTGATTTGATTTTTTTTATGTATGTTCCATATTTTATCACTTGATATTTTTCAACTCCAATCTTTACTGTGTATATGACGATTTCCATGCTTGTAAAAAAGTCTCAGGAAAAATAAAGTATTATATTGTATTGTATTGTAATTAGTCGACTCGTTGGTCCGCGTAACCCTGTTGATGAACCGTCCGCAAATACTTGACGATAACTAGTTACAGTAGTATCTTGCCAGATCTTAGATACTGCGTGACCAGCATTCACCCACGTTTCGTCCAGATAATGAATCTTTTTGTGAGCAGAAAGCATTTCCCTAATAGAGCGAAGATATCTCCGTCGCCATGAGACTATATCTTCTCTTTCTTTTGAGACAGATTGACGGGATCGTTTGGCATATATAAATTTTAAATCTTCTTTTATTATATTCCTTAACTTCACTTTGCTCATTTTTGGAATGAGATCATTATCCATTACCTTTGTAATAATGGATTCGAGGGTTGGCGCTTTATTCTCAAAAACGAAAGAATGAATGGTATAGCGTACAAAATTTTTCTGGTCCTCGTCCAATTCAATTTTTTTTTCTACCACGACAATGTACTTTTGGAACTTGCACAATCCCAGTAACCTTTTTTCACGTACAATGCGTTCAATTGTCGACTCGGATATTCCCGTTTAAAATGAACACTGGGCTACCGCTTCCACTGTACGAAGTGTATTTTTAAAATCTTCGTACACCCTACAGAAAATCTGTTTTTCTTCTAACGACATAAACTTCCGCTTTCTTTGTACATTACTTGGACCTGCTGCGGCATTCATCTTAATACTATAAAAATAATAAAATTCAATCATACTATTCAGTTTGTCCATCTTAACAACAGTTCTGATTCAGAACTGAAAATCATAAAACATGGAGTACCACAATGTTCTCTTTTTGGACCCCTGTTGTTTATCATCTACATTAATGACCTATGTTTTCACAGTAGGACGAAATGTCAAATTGTCCTATTTGCGGATGATACCTCTTTCATCAGTTCAAACAGCAACATTTCACGTCTTCTTGATAATGCTGAAACCTTGATGACTAAAGCGGAAGCTTGGTTCTCTGCCAATAACCTTCGACTGAATAAAGGGAAGACACAAAACCTCATAATTTCCTGTAATAATCAGATCACGTTAGGTAAGCATTGTAAATTGCTTGGGGTTGTTTTAGATGATCGTTTGAACTGGACTCCTCATATAGATATATTGAGTAAGAGACTATCCAATCTCTTATTTTTGCTTAGACAGCTCAGGTACTGCCTCAATTCGAGCATGTTAAAAAATGTTTATTTTGGATTATTTCATTCTGTGATCAGCTATGGTGCGATTCTGTAGGGTAATGCTGTTGATTCCTCAAAAATATTCAGGTTACAAAAACGCGCAATAAGACTATTAGCTGGGGCTAGGTATAGAGACCACTGTCAACCACTGTTCAAAACAATGAGGATTCTACCACTCCCTTGTGTGTATATATACCAAAATTTACTAGAAATCCATTCAGAAAGGCAGAATATACAAAAAGTTTCTGACCTGCATCATTACACTACCCGGGCTGCTACGGCTGATGATTTAGTATTGCCACGTTTTGTCCAAATCTGAGAAAAATTCATTAGATTTTAAACTATATAATCTATCTATCTATATTTGTCAGTTGTTTACTTACCTCAAAAACTATTTTAAAGTTGATGTATTTTGAAAAACCCTTTATTGTGAGATTTTCACTGGAGCAGTAGTTTTTTCAAGCGTGTTCACTAACAAACTGAATTCTACATACATTGTGATTTATATATACTTTTTGAAATATTACTATCTACCTAGAAACTAATAACATTCTTGGAACTAATTAATGACAGTTATACCTGAGTTTAACGAACATTTATACCTGAGTTTAATGACTAGGTCAACTAATTATCTCACAATAAAGTGTGAATGTGATGAAAATCTATGATAATGTATTTTGAAAAAAAATGCTATAAAATTTTGGAATCTCTTCCTTTTGTTTCGCTGGCTAGGTAACGCGTTTTAATGCTGACTCCTCAGGTAGTTTGGTGTGCTAAAATTCACGGCCTTCAAACCAGAATAATATTCACACTGAATGCCATTGGTTTCATTGACTTGTGAGACGGTGCGTTGATTTATGAAACAAATTTTTTATCTGCCATATACGTTTCTTTGCAATTTCGGCCTTCAAACACTCCAATAAGGCTTTATTATATTAAATTGATGGGTGTAGCCCTTACTACGTGGTAGGAAATCTTAATGAAGAAAAGAGAATTGAAACTTTTTATGTTGTTTACCACTTTTATTTGTAACTAACGTTACTACAGTTTCGTCCTATAAGGACATTTTCGAACTTATACATTAAACTAACAATGGTTTATTACATTAGCTCTTATTTAGCACCACTGTAGGTAATAATAGAGGCACTTGGCTTGATTGAGTACCTGAATTTTGTTTACTAGTGACAATGTGGATATTCTAATTTGAAAACCGGTGAGTAAACTGAATCGATTTGATCATTTAACAGGTTTCACCCGCAATGTTTATGCTTGTGAATTTCCGAAGATTTTAAATTATTGAATTTGTAACCCTTCCTTGCATAGTGCGAAATTTCCGTATCGTTTAGATACGGAAACTTGTGGTTGCATGCCAAGGAATGGTTTGAAACCGTCAAATCATTTTTATCTAGTCTGAAGGACCTTTCATGTTCAGCATACCCGACATACCGTTTTTGGAAATTTCGACCACATAAACACCCCGGAACTTATAAACTCCAGATTTCTCCAACTTGTCCACCTTACCTTTGGCATTGAAAAAGAAATCAGATAACCTGGCATATGGCCTAAATGTCACTTCCACATTGGTTTTTCTGAAGAAACCCACAATTATCTCTGTTCTTTATCCAAAATATGTTAGAGTTACCCATTTCTTGATTTCTGATTGCTTAATCTGGCACTGACGGGCGTCAGGGCAGGAATTTTCAGAGAAAATTTCCTGTGTATGCAAGTGGCACTACAACTGAAAGAGTCGACCTTCAATTATGGAACAGGCACACTTGCAGACCGGTTTCGGGCTTATTAGCCACTCATCAGTGCAAGATAGTGACCATCATCGACCTAAAGTCAATGAAAATCGGAATTCTTTCAGAGTATTTCATTCCTCTTCCGAAGTTGGAGCGAACATCACAAAATGTCACTCCATCTAGTGGACGAGGTACTAACCAACTGCATATCGGTAATTTGCCCGATTCCTCTGAATAAGGAAGAAAAACTTTCTTATTATTCAGTGGCTATGCTTGAAGACTGGCAGTAAACAATTCGAAAGCAAATGAACTTCAAAACGTTCAAGCCAGTCTCTATATACCTACACAGTAGATTAAAAGGACTGACGCCTATCTGAAAACAACTACTCCCCTGGCTAATAGCACGAATGGCTTTGGATTATATCCGACATTATTATGGCCTATCTGTGTAATTACATCAATTTCCCTAGCTAGATTGTTAGCAGATAAATGCAGTCAGAATGCTCTGTGCAACATTGACTTTCAGGCTGCTAATTTATGACTGTCTGGATGGAAACAATCGCTTGGAATGGTAATGTCTGTGTAGCTAGGTTTTCTGAATACATTGAACTCAAATTTATTCTGATTGTTTGTAATGGTCGGGTCTAAGAAATTTATTTGTTCTCCTTCCCCTGTTTCGAGTGTAAACTGAATGTTGCTATTGAGATTATTGATGAATATCATAAATTGGTTCAGCTGTTGTGTAGAATATCATAAAATTTCAACAACTAGCACCATATATGTGTTAGGCCCAAGGCTTTTCAGCCCAGGTAGTGTATGTAAATGATAATTGAATTAATATAAGAATTTTGAAGTGATAGTGTCTTCTTATTGTCAAATTGACTTCGGTGTTATTTTTTGTATACAGTTTCAGATATTTCAGAGTTCGAAGAATTAGTAACTTTTCTCAATTAACTATATTAATAACAGTTGTGCTTTCGTGACCTCTATTATATCATCATCTTTTGTTCTGTTTCACCATCACCGACGAATGAACCTCTGTGAGAGATGAAATCACCTCTGAAAGAAGTAACCTTGCTTGCCAGTAAAACATCATGAAGAAATTCGGCGGTCATTAAACTTGTCAAAAGATACTGTTACTGTATGAATTTTCTCACAGCTCTTTTTCAAATCGAGTGAATCATCAACATGTGTCCGATTTAACCGCAAGGGTTTGAAATCACTATGAAATATTCACTATAAAAAGTTTACAAAATTGTGACACGTGTTTCGCTATACGATAGCCCCTGCTTTGATATTCATTTTATTTCATAATTATCCATCAATCTTTCTTTGCCAATAAATGGATTTAAAATAACATTCAGTTGTTTCCTCTTATCAACTCGAAAGAAACGATTAAGACTCTATCATTACGAAAGATGTCTGAAAACCCTTCTAATTCCTATTTCGTGTGATTTCATTCCAGAAAATAATCAACCCACACGACTTTTTTTCAAAAAACAAAACACAAGCACTGCGGAAAAATCCTTGAGCGGTGTCTGTGCGAAAGTAGTGATTGAGATTTAATTTTTAGTAAGATAGAAAGAGATATGAATATTGGCCTATCAGCTAGGTGCGATAAATTTGAAATTCATGAGCATAAAATTCGTTGAATACTATGTGGATTGAATATTAATTTTTTCCTTTGATCCATATTATGATTTAGTTATAAAGGTTTAGGTCTGCTTCAACACAGACTTTCTGTTATAAAACTTTAAAGTTGGAAATTCTTCTATCAATAATATAATAAATAATGATATATTTGTACAATACCTATTTTACAAAAACATAAAAAAGTAATAATACACTTTCTATAGATTTAATTAATTCACAAGAAGTTATAATGTTGTTGATGTCACAATATTAGGTACTTAAAATTCTAGGAAAAGAATTGACATTATATAAAAAAAAATTGGAAGGGCATATTTTCAGGAGAGATTAATTTCTGGGAAAACAAGGTTTTGGCCTTCTACTTTCTCCACCTTGATGCAAGGCTGATGAGGCTGGAACCATAAATAATAATGGTATCTACTTTTCTCATGAAACATTTTCACGTACACCCATACATCCGATCTCAGATTTTTTATGTCAATCTCATTCCTAAAAGATGCAAGTTTTTCAGAAGAAAGATTTTTGGTTATAAAATGAATAATAAAGATTTTTCTTCTCTCAGCAACCTTATCCATAGACACACTGTATATTTTTTTCATATAATTAAAATAATTGATATAATTGAATTATTATTCGTGGATATACTCCATGTGATGAACTTTTTTATTATCCATTTGTCAAAAAAAATCATTCATGATAAAAATTGGTACATTGCGGTAAACTTGGTTTTGAGTTGTCAAAATTTTAAATTTCCAAACGATGTACAGGGAAGAACAAAAATAGGAATATTGATCAAGAGTAAACTACTCTTATCCTCGATATTATTGAAAAAGTTTCTTAGAAAAGTTGTTAGAATTTCAAAACAAAATTTAGATTTACATTTGAGATTAATTTTTTCTCATCTGTTTGGTATAATTTCCGTATGCCACTGCAAGAGACTGCAAGAGATTAAGGCAAAAGCATCACAGTGATTTCTGAGAATTTAATGCCTACTATTTTGGAATTATTTTAAAATTAACTATATTTCAATTGTAACTTATTTATTAACTTTCTTGACATTGAAATGAGACACAAAGTTGCCATTTGAATATCATCGTGATATAGACATCATACATCATTATTATATGCTGATTCAGTTGGAATTACAGTATATTATCTGTACCTCACAAATAGATATATGGAAGAATTGAAGTTGAAACAGAAGAGGTTTTTCTGCACAACATTTTCTCTATATAAATCAACAGTATTTCACGGGAAACATACAAATCTTTCAAAATCGCCTTGCCGCGGGAGCCGGTCTCTCTTCGTCTTCCTCTGGATGGGCAGCGTTATACTCTAGAGATCTGAGGATAGCTACCGGAATCGGTGGTGGAGTTTTATCGTCTATTGGAGGCACTGGAAGATGGTCTCCTTGTGCGTGGAATCCATTTTCATCAGCCGTGTAGGTCACTTGAATTGGACTCCCGTCAGGAGCGGTATACCTGAATCCCCCTTGAACATTTTCCGTTTCAGCATCCTTGACACCGGCATTTTTCAACACCCCTTGTTCTTGAGCAAAAATACCGTTTCCAGTTTCGTAGGATGATCTGTATGATCCATCGATGTTGACTTCTCTGTCTTGGCTGATGATTGGTATGGGTTCTTTCCCAGTGAGTTGAGCCGCTAATCCATTAGTGATTATTGCGAAGAGAAATAACTGAAACAAAAACAAACTCATTAGACCTACATCATGCATCACAGTTTAGGGTTAGGTTTGGTCAAAAAAGAGGGCCTATTCGACCCCCCACCGCAACCCGTAAGGGTTTATTGTAGCCTATTCTAACTCGACCAAATACAGTGTGGTCCATTAAGTCTGCAACAAATAGGAAACTTTTTTATTATCGATTTCTCAGAAAAGTTTATTCTTGACAAGAGTTGGTGCCTGTTCCAAAACTATACCAAGTGTACCTGAAATGGCTTTATAACAAACACCATACAGGATAGGCCAAAAAATTAAAAGTTCGTTCAAGACTAAAGTTTCTTTATTTCAAAAAATATAGAAATATGTTGGAAAAAAGTTGCTTAGAATTAAAAGTTATGTCCAGATACGAAGTCATGGCCTGCTATTCGATTATTTTTTTTTGGAAAATTTTGAATTAACCCCCGTATGATACACATTTTTACTATTTTGATTCAATATTTATTTATTTATTCATTTATTTATTCATCCAAACAGGCTGATTAGCCTAATTACATGGATATAACAAAAAAAAACAAAAATTTTAGTTCAATACTAATACATATACAATAAAATTAATACTAAAAATAGCAGCATAATGTTTACACAACCCCAACTGACAATATACCAGAATGACAGGGAGACGTTATTCAGAAATACTATCCAAATAATTTAATATCAACTGGCGAAAACTGTTTTGCGAATATGTATTTGAAGTAGCCACAATCAAATCAGTTTGGAGTATTTTTTATCAAATCAAAGTGTATTTGTAAAATTTACTTGGATTTTTATTTTTTAGGTGACCGTCAACTTCATGTTTGTTGCAACGATATTTAACAGAACTCTAGAATAAAACAAATACTCTTTTTAACGAGGCAAATACTTCACTAACTAAATGTTCATATGAATAAACTGTTAAGAAAAGTATAAAATTTCTTTTATTCTGACAACAATGCCTCAACTAGAACAGATATTAAAAAACAACATAAGTACCATGCTTACAAAGCTACATTCATTTCTACTTTTCAAGAAAGAGACTATGATTTGAGATATGATTTTTCATGTGGATTCAGAGTGAAATAGAAGAATAACGAGATTTTCATCGATGTATTCTGTAAGGAGATGAATCTACTTTTAGAACAAATGGGGTTCTATCATCACAAAATTGCAGATGGTGGTCAAATATCAACCCAAATTTTATTATTGATAACAAAAATCAATACTATCAGAAAACAAACATTCAGTATGGTATATTAAATGATAAATTACTAGGTCCGATTTTTTTTCGCGAGAATTTGAATGGTGACAGGTACTTGAACTTTTTGGAAACTGAAATAGGAGAGTGTTTGGATGATATGGTATCAGAAGAACGACAAAAGTTATGGTTCCAACATGACGGATGTCCAGCCCATTCTACTAGAAATGTTTCTCAGTGGCTGAACGAAATACCGTTAGAACGAAATACCGTTCCTCGATGGCCTCCTCGTTGTCCAGATATTACACCTCTAGATTATTTCTTATGGGAATACTTAAACCAAAAAGTCTACAGAGATCGCCCCTTTAATATTGTTGATGAGCTTGAAACTTCAATACGAGTTCATTGCAGAAATATACCCGCTAATGTGTTGTGACCTACATTAAACGAATTTTATGAGAGAACAATTAGATGCATCATAAGAGAAGGTGGACATACAGAGACACTTCGATAAGTTTTTTGTTAGCACCTATTAAGTTGTTAAGTTACCTCCTGTATTTTTCTGTACTATCGCCTATTGGTTCTTTTTTGTTCATGGCTATCCGCGATAGATTTTGACAGTTTATTCATATGAACATTATACTTAGTAAAGTATTTGCCTCGTTAAAAGTATTTGTTTCATTCTAGAGTTCTGTTAAATATCGTTGCAACAAACATGAAGTTGACGGTCACCTAAAAAATACAAACCCAAGTAAATTTTACAAATACACTTCAATTTGATAAAAAATACTCTAAACTGATTTGATTGTGGCTACTTCAAATACATATTAAATCAAAATAGTAAAAATATGTGTCATACGGGGGTAATTCAAAATTTTCCAAAAGAAAAAAGAATCGAATAGCAGGCCCTGACTTCGTATCTGAACATAACTTTTGATTCTAAGCAACTTTTCTCTTCAACATATTTCTATATTTTTTGAAATAAGGGTACTTTACTCTTGAACGAACTATATATTTTTTCGCCTATCCTGTATGGTGTTTGTTATAAAGCCATTTCAGGTACACTTGGTATAGTTTTGGAACATGCACCAACTTTTCTCAGGAATACAATTTTCTGAGAAATCGATAATAAAAAGTTTCCCATTTGTTGCACACTTAGTGGACCACACTGTATATATAGTGAGTGATCTTTCAGGTCGGAAACTCAGAAAACCTTATTCGGTCCGCAGCAGGGCAGGCTAAAAGTATATGAAAAAAAACTAATCAATAGAGTTTATTCTATGATTTTCACTGTAAGGGTTTTACAAAAACCGCGACACGTGTTTCGCTATACAATAGCTTCTTCAAGCATAACAGTTATGCTGTGTAGACGAAACGCCAGTTATGAAATCCTACTGACCACGGCCTAAACCCCGGAAAATAGATTTCACACAGAAGAAAAACTTGAATAACTAATGCATAGTCAACTGGAAAATAACGAAAACCGTGGATTATTCCTCATTCATTTATCCAGTAGGTGTCTGAAGTTTTGAATTCTCGATTTTGATGTTTAATAAGTAAAAATAATATTTTTTACTTAAAGGTCCAAAGTGGGGTGTCTTGTGCAAGTTAGAGTGTTCGATTTTGGACGTATTTTCAATCCTCTGATAAAATTATAAATATTGGTATTACATTTCCGGAAGGTAAGATTTTTTTGGTCAATTTCCTTCTCTTTTTTATTTATTCACAGCTTAACAGAACAAAAGTTTCAATTATAGAGTCGCACAGAATCAACAAGATTCATCATTACATTCGAATAGTTGAGCTAGATCAAACTAAAGATAATTATTTACAAATAGAAATAAAAATACAGTTACCCTCCTAGTGTAGAGTATGTTTCTACAAGAAAATCTTACTTTTGAAATGGGTAAGTGAAATGGATCAACAGAGGAAAAAGTGGAATTGTATATTTGTTACATACGTGATATTGGAGCGTTTAAGAAATAATTATTACTTGCTAGAGACAACTTGAATAAATCACCATTGCGCATGGAATAAACATTTGCCTTGAACGATATCTTTGTCAAACAACATATTCTGAATCTATTTTATTATTCAACAATTTACTAAGAAAAATGACGTAGGCAATTTTCCGTCTGGTTTCTATTTCGTCAATTTTATATATTTTTAGACCAGAAGTATATAAAGGAAAACTTTGACTTAATCTGAATTTGAAGTTTAGGAAGCGTATGAACCTCTTTTGAAACTGTTCTATTCTATTTATATATTTTTGATAAAAAGGATTGCACACTATTGTTGCATACTCAAGGTGGCTTCGAACACTGGAATTATATAGGAGTATACAGATTTCGGGGTTTTCAAAATTTTTACAGTTTCGTACTGAGAAGACAAGATTTCTCAGTGCTACATAGTCAATATGGTTTTCAAAAAACAATTTTTAATCAAGAATAATGCCTAGATCTAGTATTTGTTGAACTTTTTTCAGAGGTGAACCGTCTATCTCGTAAATGTAATCAAGATTCCGCTTTTTTCGAAAAAGTGTTATAGAAGAGCATTTATTAGGATTGATATGTCACTTATTGGAATGATAATAATCAGATAAACGATGTCTAGGTGTAGAAATACTGTTGTAATTTCTGCTCTATCGGAGAATGAATTTTTAAATCATCGGCGTATAGTAGATAATGACTATGTTGAAAGCACGAACTAATGTCATTAATGAAAATTGAGAACATCAGCGGTCCCAGGTGTGATGCCTGTGGGACACCGGAAGTTACTCGTGAAATTTCAGATATATTATCATTTGAATCTCCTTTTCAAATTTGAAAATGTCGAATAGTTTTTAAAATATTTGCGAACTACCAAACCATATTTTTTGTCAGTTGATTGTTTATAACTTTTGCACTTGTTAACTAGACTAATAAAAGCTCGCGGAACTCTACTTTTTCAAATCACTATAATCAATTGTGACTTACGGCTACTTTCATGTTGTAGAATCACAGAGAATAACGAAGACGATTACTGACGTTGACATTATCTGCACCTATATTTATACATCACGTTCTTTTAGCTCCTCTTATTGAAAAGGATTGCAAAATTGTTCGTCCGGGGTAATAAAAGGCATAGAGAGAGTGGATCACGAACGGGAAAAAGGAAACTGGACATCTTCAAGGGTATCGGCTCTTTGGAAAAAATGCTTGCCTGTTCAAGTGCATACTGTTACAATTAATGTCGATTCAGATGTTATGAATGATATACCTAAAGGCCTACTTGGAATGCACGATATCAAGGATGGGTTTGGAACGCTAAGCAAATAAAGTTCATCGTTATATAACTTTCTTAATGACACGGAAGAATAAAAAATTACTTATAATTGGAAAGTGAGTACTAAACAAAATTATACAGGGTGTTTATTAAACATGCGGCGAAAATTCAAAGGCCTATTTCTTGGACTATTCTAGGGATATTTCGTCCTTTGATGATTTTTGTTTCGAAGATACGAAGTGAAAAAGAATTTACACATTAACACATGTAACAACAAAAACTTAACAGAGCCGTTTTTGAATATAAAATGAAAGATTTTTAAAAAAAGCTCGGACACGTCGATTTCTAATTGAAGGGGGACACCTTTCAGACTAATCAGATTTTTTGTAGTACGCACCCCCTCGGAGGGGTGCGTCCGACGACCCTTATTTAGATAGGGAAATTAGGTCGAGTGGCACCTTGTTTTAAAGGTATTTCGAATACCTTTACAACTCTGTCAAAAGAAAATTTTTGTAACGATTAGTTTTCGAGATAATTTGAAGATTTATTGAGTTCAACACTTTTTAAAATAAATCAAATTGTTTTTGAGGTACAATTTACGTTCAAAACTTTCACTAAAAAAATAAATTTTTGCTTTCTATGACAACCTGCTATAACGTGTCCATTTGATTTCGTAAAAAAATAAGAATTATTTGTTTATTACGAGGAGATTTTTTCATGGGATGGGGTTGGTTACCACCCTTACATTTTAGGTAAATTGAGTGGCACCTCCTTATGAACGTTGCCTTTTGACGTGGATATTTTATGCTTCTGATAAAAAAGTGAATCATTCTAAAAACTTACCTACACAACGAATAAAACCTGCTGATTTCCTTGAATGCTGATGACACAGAAAAGTTTAAAAAACTGTTTTAGGGTTTATGAATCCCAATAATTGTTTTTAAAGCACACACAAAAAAGTAACACCTGATAAGGGTAACTCACATAGGAAATTTAGAGTAAATGTTCAAAATGTGCGCCATTTTGCTCCATATAAATCCTTTATTTAGCAATGAAACTGCTAATGCAATACATATATAATCAAATACGACACCACAATGTGTTAGTCAACTAAACTCAGGAATAAAATTTCAAAGTATGAGTACTACAATAAATATACAACATCTACTTAAAATATCACAGTTGTTAGTCAATATAAAACACAAACAAAATACAAATATAGAATACAAAAAAAAGTTTATACAGTCAAAATTTATATTATATAAAGACTAGTTCATTCACCCAATAGATGACTCTTCAACTTTCTTTTGAATAATGCAAGAGTGCTACATTCTTTAATATTTTTGTTCAAACTATTAAAAGCTAACATTCCTGCATGGTAAATGGATTTCTGAGTACACTTTTTATTTTTAACTCCTACATATATGTTATTACGCGTTCTTGCATTATAGTGATGATGATTTTCATTGTATTCAATATGCCTACTCAGGAATGTCGGTGATAGGTGATTATTCATTTTATATATCATTATCATTGTATAGTAATATATGAGATCTGTCACAGCCATCCATTGCAATTCCTTCAGCATTGCTTTGATTGGTATCTCTCTTGGTTTTCTTAATATGATCCTCATGGCTCGGTTTTGCTGTTTTTGTAATCTATCCATTTCATTTTATTGGCAGTATATATTATCGATGCACAAAATGTAAAATGTGGTAATATAAGTGTGTTATACTTTATAATTTTTGTAGATTTTGTAAGTGTTGGCGAAATACTTCCTAGAAAGCTAATATTTCTTGAGATAGTTTTGATTACTTCTTGTACGTGTTCTTTGAATGTTAAGCCTCTATCAATTAAGACTCCAAGATATTTCGTCGCACTAACGGTTTCTATTTCTATATTACTCATATGGATATTTAGATATCTGCTTTCAAGTTCATGATATCCCGTTTTATTAGTAAATAACATGAATTTTGATTTATTACCATTTAATTTCAATACATTATAACTACACCATCGACTTATTTTTTTGTAGTTCACTATACATTGTATCTATCAAATGTTCCACATCATGTGCACAGTAATATATATATACAAGTGTGTCATCAGCAAAGAGATGAATTTTACACTTGTCTACCTCATTAACAATATCATTTATATATATTAGAAATAAGAGTGGTCCTAGTGTACTGCCCTGAGGTACTCCGTTGTTATTGACAATTTCACAGGACGTTACATTATTTTGTTACTTGTCTTCTACTATTTAAGTAATCTTTAAACCATTTATAGACTGTACGGGATATTCCATAATTTCTCAATTTAAGCAGGAGTCTTTTCCTATTTACTGTCTCAAAGGCTCTTTTCAAATCTAAGTAAACTGCTTCTACATTCATGCAACAATAAAGATTTTGTTCGAATTTTGCTCTTACATTATTCAACATCTCAGGAGATCCAAAGGTGTTAAATCTGGTGATCGGGCTGGCCATTAAATTGGACCTCTTCTGCCAATCCATTGTCCTTCAAAATGATTATTCAAAAAATTTCGAACCTGCTGGGCATAATAGGGTGGTGCACCGTCTTGTTGAAAATGTATAAATTCATCTTGACGTCTTGGATCCTGTTCATTCATTTCAACTTTACGAGGTTGTATTGCCTCTTCAAGAAGTTGTAAATCACCGGTTAACTTTCCATCAATGAAAAATGGACCTATAATATGATTGCCTAATATTCCGGCCCAGACATCCAACTTTTGGGGATGTTGGGTATGTATTTTTGCGTATTGTCTTGGGTTTTCATCCGACCAATAACGGAAATTGTGACGGTACACGCAACCATTTAAATAAAATGAGCTTTCGTCCGAAAAACAGATGTTATAAAGCAGTTCGGGATTTTGCATTATTCTCTCACCCATGCCCTCACAAAACTCCTGTCTTCGGTCAAAATCATCCTCATTGAGTTCAAGAACAAGTTTAATTTTGTAAGGATGGAATTTGTGGTTTTTAAGAATTATCCATGCGCTCATATGGCTTATTCCTGGGATTGGCGATGACTTGACCATTCACTACCTTTCTCTGAACATTTCTTTTCTTATATACAACCGAACCTGTCTCCCTGAATTTTGTGACCAAATCCAGAACGTGATTTCTGCTTAGGTGTTTACCAGGGTTTTGCTCGTTTAATAAAATTGATGTTCTATTAGCATTTTGGTCGTTGCCAAAAAATAAAGCAGTAACTGACACCCTTTCAGCAGTAGTGTAAGGCATTTTTAAACAAATAACAATACACGACCCGTTTAAACAAAACAATCGAACGATGTACTAATGAAAAGTGGAAGAAGAGGAGTGGGTATTGATTTTAAAAAAGGGATTTTATTTAACAAAAAACTGATAAGAAGAACTGCTCGAAAAATTTTTTATTTAGGCATACAAGTTACCGAGTGGTCTGTCTAATGTATTATCAAGATGGCAATTTTAACTTCAAATTATCTCAAAAACTAATCGTTACAAAAATTTTCTTTTAACAGAGTTGTAAAGGTATTCGAAAGACCTTTAAAACAAGGTTCCACTCGACCACTATCTAAATAAGGGTCGTCGGACGCACCCCTCCGAGGGGGTGCGTACTACAAAAAACCTGATTATTCTGAAAGGTGTCAATCGACGTGTCCGAGCTCTTTTTGAAAATCTTACTTTTTATATTCGAAAACGGCTCTGTTAAGTTTTCGTTGTTACACACTGTATTACCAAAAATTACATGTGATGTTTCTTAATTTACAGGAACTGTTGAAAATGACTACCCCCCTCTGGAATGGAAGAATCCAATCTCTTCATCGACTCCCAAACTCTTTCAAAAACAGCAGGATCGTTTCTGATTGCGTTACACCCAGCAATTATCCGATTTCTCAAATCTTCCACATCGTCTACTGGAGTTGTTGATAGGTATAGTCGAAGTAAACCATATTGTGCACATTTAAAGGTGGCCGCACTCTCAAAGGCCAAAAAACCAATACATAAAAATGAACCGGCAGCGAGCTACTCCACGTGGACTATAGACTTGGCGGTCTGTATTGGATAATTTTTACTAACCGAGTTCTACGATTGGCTTGAGAGTCATAAAATTAAAGAAAATTAAAGTCATATTCGAATTTAGTTCAGGAACTGATAGCGATTTGAGTGTTGAAATTCGATACTGATGCAGTTATAATTACTCAAAATTTTTGTTTTCTGTTTAGAATGTAGCGTTCTTGAATAAGTAGTAATAGTAATAAAGAGTGTGATAACAACGCAGACTTTTTCTAATGTAGTGATTCCAATAGCGATGATGAACAATGCGAAAAAGAGATACCATTGAATAAGATTCGGATGCATTTGAATATTGAAACACAGAGAGTTTGTTTTAATATACAATGTGACCCATTTTTAATGGAAACACCCCCCCTAAAATTTTAAGCTGTAAACCGATTTTAATAATTTTTTTTTGAAATGTAAAGTACTAAAAGGTCTACCTTGGGACAAAATTTTAAATGTTTATTGAAGTTTCAGGGCATACTACGATATTTTTTCTTAGTCGAAAATCAAGATTTTTATTAGCGATTTTTTTATTGAAAAAATCACTACGCCACTGGATTCAGAGTGCCTCTAAATAGGTGTGACCAAAATTTCATGAGAAAATATTCATTATTAACAATGTTATGACAACTCAAAAATTCGAAAACTCACACAGCTAACAACAGTCACAAAAAACACCCTATATCAACAGATATACCCATGAGAATATTTTTTTATGATTTCAACAATAAAGTGCCGCCAGATGAAAAAAAAAACAAATAGCGTAAATATTTTTAATGAAAATAACGGAAT